ATCACAAAGGATTTCTTATGCAGGTTTCTTCTTCCACTTAAAACATCTTGTAGTAAGATACAAGCATTGAGACCCAAAATATAGCTATGCCTTAAGTCTCCTGTTTGGTGAACAGCTGCATACAGACATTGTGACACAGGCATTAAGTGTGTCAGGCCAGACTAATTTTCACCATCAAATTACAGCACTGCTAGCTTTTCCAATGTATTCACTGCAAGGCTCACAACTTCCATGCACAGATGCCCAGATTCAGCTGTGCCAAAGAGCGTGCTCAAAGAAGCTCTAACAGGGTGGGCAAAGGTTTATACAGCACACCATCCTTCAGCTACACCAAAATAATACTAACCAAATCTGGGTTCAGTGATTGTGCAGAAGACTCAGGAACAAGAGTTTTACCTCAAGTGTTTCCATTAACACACTCCAGGAAAAGTAAGTTTGTTCCTCACTTTCTCCCTTTCCTCAGTACAACAAAAACATTCTCTTGAGAACTGCTTTTATATACTTAGGTAAAAGAAGCTGGAAAATGCTCAACTGCATTCCCTGTGGTTCTATACAAAGGATACTCTGCTCATCTCAGTACATCCATACAGCCTGGAAACCCTGTCATAGACTGCACATGGTGAGCAGAGGAGCATGTGGCCGCAATCCTTAAAGCCTGGACTGTAGCAAAGGTGGCAACTAGCTACAAACTGCTCCATGTGGATGAGGTGTCTCTGAAGAGACACGAACATGCTCTTCACTCAGCACCATGACCTGAACACAGAGAGACCTGTGGCCCTCCTTTATCAAAGGGCTTCTAAGTTGTGGTGTGCCAGGGAGTCTCTGAACAAAACTTTCCCAATGCCTAAACGGAGAGCACTAGCTTTATTTTCAAGGGATGTAGTTTAAAAAATAAACTTGTCAAATCACTTCCCTATTCTACTCTCTTCAGCCTATCAAAAATAACCAGGTAGCAAAATCCTTTTAAAAGACGTTAAGTATCACTTCTCAAAAAGCTGTGTGACAAAAATGCATCAAATAATTCTAGTCTTCCTGTCTTTCTAGAAAGGAAGCTGGCAAGTTAAACAATGACCAGCTATACAACGTTCTTCAAAAGAGGGCTTTACAAATTTTAATTGGTGACATGCCATTTCATAGAAAAGCTGAGTTCAAAAGAAAACTGAAGCATGCCACATTTTGTATTAATCAAAAAAAAATGTTTCAACACTAACGTAGTAGTGCTGAACAAAGCTGACATTAAAAAGGAAATGATGAAGCTGGTGCCCCTAATAGGGCATCCTGGAACCAATGCTAGCTCTGAAAGGAGAAGCTTCAAGTCAACACAAGCAGTAAGAAGGGTATTTCCACCCAATGGCTCCTATCTTGTGTTTTCACTTACCCTTGCCCTAAAGTGGTTCTGTTGAATCCTCTATTCTTACAACTCTCTCCAGCTAATTCTCCTCAATGTTGTCTCATGTGACCTGTCACTCTTCTTCATTTATAGCCGTATTCAAGTATCACTTGTGAGCTTCCCAGATAGCAGAATCCCAAACACACCTTGCCTAAGACAGTATTAAGATCTGACTAATCAGCACCACGGGAAAGCCTCTCTCATCTCTAGCATAAACCCACTAAGTCAACTGCCTGAAAAAAATTTACAAGCTGCAAAACCAAAGGAATCCAAGGAATAAATTGTCATCTTGGGGGCAGGTATCTTAGTGCCAGTTAACAGTGCAGGCTGCTTAGCATACTGAGCTACTCTAGCAAAAATGTGGGGTAAGCTTGTCATATTCTCTTAACTACAGCAAGGACACTGGGTATCAGACTTCTAGCATTACAATATGTCAAACTATGATATATCTAGTGCTGTATTAGCCTCTGCTCTCCAGTAGCTTCTCAGGGTAAACCTACTGCCCAAACACTGAGATTTCCTAGTCAGGCCTATGCAGACCACTTACATACAACTTCAAAGTTACAAGTTCTCTCTGACATTCTGACTTGGGCTTTCAAGTAACATCATTGTGAAACCCCTAACAGCAGGCACTGTTCAACTGAAGAACTTCTGCTTAGCAAGAATGTTTCATCTACCTACACAAAATGCTGACCACATAGGCTACAAAACACTGTGCAGCATCTCTCCCCAGTGAATGCTACATATAGCACAAGTATCTATATGATAAAGCATTACACTCTATGGGTAAGAAAAATGTGGTCCTACAGGTTTCTGAACCAGAAGGCCAGTTCTTATTAGAAAAACCTCTCTGAAAAGAAACTTAATGCACCTAACAAATTTGGACTTCAGAACACAAAGAGGGAGAGCAAGCAAATGTAAGCAGTTTGATAATACATTGCTGGCCTCTTCCTAGAGGGATTCTCCCCTGTAAGACTTCTGAACTACCTGGGCCAGGGAGAAGTAATGGGGAATTCCTGTGGTTGACAGCAAAAAAGATGCAGCCCTTTAAAATTCCAAAGGTGTAAACATGGGACAGATTTAAGATTAAAGAACAGCAACTTATATGAACAAAAATGCTGATGTTTACTTCACTTTATTTTTTTTCAACTTTACATATGTATATTTACGATATCAAAGTGCATGAGTTGAGAGGTAAATTTAGTAATAAGTTAAGGGCTGTGACAAAATCCAGCTCAGGTCCTGCAAAGTGCAATCTCTGCCACCTGAACCATTACAGCATCCTATTGTTGTAATGAAAATTATACTGAGGTGTCCCGTGGCATGACCAGGGTTGCCAGCAGAAGATAATGACAGTAAAACCACAGAGGAAGGCTAACAGTTCCTGCCTGCCTCTCAGGTGACTTACTCCATCTACTGTCCAAAGAGGGACAGAGGCAGCAAACAGTAGAACTGTTGGGTCTTGGCAGCATGTTAATACTGCCAGGTTTACCACCGTTTGCTTCTAAGTAAACACATTTTATTTATTTAGAAGCCATCAGCAACAAAAAGTAATTTTTTTAAGATGTCCATAATTCAAAATGTAAATGCAAAACTAAAAAAATTCTTTGAACAAATAGATTCAACTTTCCCAAGTACTTCTGAGTACCTTGTTTGAAACAATTTTCTTGCATTCAGAAGGGCCAAGTAAGACAGAAGGGCTATCCAGCTGGGTTTAAAAGTGTCCTGCCACATCTAGAACATCTGTTCCATCTGGAAAACACAAAGTGAAGACTGCAAGCTGGAATTCTTCTAGTGAAGCTCATAATAGGCAAAAATCACAGTAATACTGACACACTGTCCATAGAGACTGATGTCCCCAACTTTGCTCACAGTCGACACCTGGATCGAGTTCAGGCCAAGCAGGAGTATTGCCTGTGCGAACCTGCCATCTCTGGGCTGCCCTCTGCATCAAGCTGGGTAGCTGCACTTTGCTCAGCGCCACAGTTCCCATAGAACAAAGTTCAAGCAGCGTGCTGCAAACTTCAGATACTGTTTACTTTTACTTCCTTTCAGAGTAAAGAAGCTTCCCAGTTTAACCAGAAAATATTCAGCAGTCAGCTTTTTGATTTTCTTAATCCTTTCTAATGAGCCTGACAGTATGCTTGCTGTCATTGTGTAGTGCTTTCCTAGGAACTCCAAGTAATAAGACCAACAAGCAGTTTACAGAAATCAGTCTTAATAAATAAAAAGCCACAGGTTAGAGGCTGAAGATGACAGTGTAATCAAGAAAACTGAATCCTGAGTAAGGTCTCATCTTCGTAATTAGAACATTTAATGTGCTCATGTTTCATATTTCAGGATTCCATATCCCTCTAATGAAGTGCTTACAGAAAGTTCAGGGTAAACAGGAGAGTGAAATTGTCTTCCTCAACAAGGTCAAGTAACCACATGCTTGAGCAAGCACCTGGTTAAGAAACGACGTCAAGTAACCAAATACTGTCTCAAAGAGGTTTGCCTTTTTTTTTTTTTAAATGAGAGCTTTATCTACACACAAGAATTTTAAATAAATACTAGCAGTTTCCTGGCAATAATTTCCAAAATGTAACAGTAACCCATAGGTTCCTCTTACCACTTCAGAGTTAAGTTTCCTACAGAAATAAAGATGCAGATAGGTCCACAAAAATGAACTATATATTCTAACACACACCTCACACACAGAGTACATGATAAACACCTCATCTATGTCCCACCCATTAAATTATATCCTTTGCAGAATTAGTTCATTGCAGAGCGAAGTCATTGAGCTTCAAAATTTATGGCAAAGTGAGGACAAGGTAGGCAAAGCTATAAACAGCAGTGTTGACATGAGGGAAACGTGGCAAATGTATGCGTAAGACAGCCCAAGAAAATGCTTGGTGGATGAAAAGAAGAGGAAAAAAAAAAAGAGTAATGCCCTTTATATCTGCAGGTTTTATGGCTGCTCTTTTCTGTAGTCCTTCATTCCAGCCTTATATTATCACTAAGTTAATGCACAGCTCATTATTACCAGTTGCACACTAATGCTATACAGGTGTCTGTGTGCAGAGAGAAAAACCTTATGTTCATAGTTGTCTCTCCCTTGTTCAATATGCAGAAGCCATTTTAACACCAATGGGAACAAATTTCTGAAATTGTGAGTTGTACAGAGCACATTCTGTGACCACTTTCATTCTACAGAAAAAAAGACAATGGGTGTTCTTAAGTTTATCAATTTATACTGAAACAAAATCAACCACCTTGAAAATAAAACAAAAACACATGCATTGATGATCTGTCCAAATCTATCTAAGCCTAGGTAATTTCCTAGACCTCAGAAATACATGATCCCACCCTTGCTGTCTCATTTGGCTTCAAATGCAGTCCATACACTGTCATTCTGAACCACAAGACTTTGAACAGCTGTCTTGTGTGGAGAGCATCAGCGGTGTAACTAATCTGAAGAGTACTCAAATGCCTCTCCTAGTCAGGAAAAACACCAGCACTTGCCCAATTATTGGCATTCCTTGACAGGCAAGGTCCCCAGTACTTGTCTTGCAGCTGGACTGACTGGACAAGTGAGAACAGGCACAAAATAGGCCAGTGTTTCTTCTTTTCATTACTTGATCATATGAGTCTCTTCATCAGCATCATAAAACTCCTCATCTTCACTTCCACTTCCTGCAGAACTGTCTTTGTCTCCAGACTAGAAACAAAAATGAAGTAACTGATTAGTGCAGAAGCCACTAAATCAATCTCAAAATACATAAGCATCTGTCGGAATGCTGGTAGAGAAACAGTAAGAAAAGACAGGTCAAATCACTGTATTAAAACTTTATAAAAGACATTATATAAATTAATATTTGTGTCCTTAGTTCTTCAAAATCTCTTTAGAAGAGATGGACTTTTTCTGTTCCATTGGTACACTAGAGAATACATACAGGAGAGAGACCAGGTAAAATGGTTCTGAAGTTATAATCTACTCAGCTTTCTTAATTTAAGTCTGTGGTCTCTGTAGTGAGCTACTGGAAACAGAGGCTCAGAACACACAGATCACTTCATTCGGTAAAAGCTTCTCCATCCTGAATTATTATTTCTTCACGTGTAGCCTGAGCATGTTTCTATGAAAGTATTCTCCTGTGATACTAACTAAATATGTTACAGAAAAGGGAAAAAGCTTTACCACTTCATATGTTCAGAAAGTAAATGCAGTGTTATAGACTTATCTACTCCAGTCAGAGTCCTTTTGACAACATAATTTATATTATATACCCAGACTAAAAGTCAGCTATTACAGCTAATTTATTCTTATTTGGCCAGTGTAGCATTTTTCCACAGAACTGAAATTATTCCAGTTAAAAAGATTCTCTTGCTAATATAAACTCCATCTAGTTTAAGCATTTAGGATTTTTTTTTCTAGTATGCTTGCATCCACCCTAAAGACTTCTGCCTGCCTAGTCATATGTGAAGAAGGGTGAGAGGGTGAAAAATAGAGAAATGGAAATCATGTTCCTGACTGACAGTACCATGCAAGAAAAATCTGTAGCTTTTGATCTGTCTTCAGAGGAGTGTTGCTACAGCAATGTGTGTTAACTGCAAAGGAATTTCAAACAGTTTGAGCACTAAGACCTGTCAGAAGATATAAAGAGAATCATGTTACACTTTTTTCTGGATTTCTAAAATTATTTGAGCAAAGTCAGGCTACCACTGGATGCTGTCCAACTTGAATATCATTCATGTATGTTAACAGGGACAAAACCTCCATTCTGGGCAACTAGAACGCATGTTATCCGGGAAGCGTTACAAAAGGACAATGGGTTCCACAGGGGAAATTCAGGGTATGCCAAATAAATTCTACATCTTTCTTACAGCAGCTTCGTAAGACCTCTCCATGGCCTTGTCAAATAGGGTTAATGTTTAACAGCTTTCCATTTTATCAGTGCTTTCTTTGTGAGCTTTAAAATAAAGCCCTGATGTGTCACAGACATTCCAGATATAACTTCTCTGAAGTTACAGGATTACTTCAGGCCTGAACCAACAACTGTTTTTTCATTTGGATTCAATAATTTTAATCCATCTGGGGAAAAAAGTGTTCCTGAAGGACATTCTAATTTATTTTTTTTTTCCTTCTGTGGATCCTATTGAGGTTGGGATTTTTAAGAAGCCTGCAGAAGTGCAAGCAAGGAAGAATTAAACCTGAGAAGGTTGGTGTAAGTCAATCAAGTTGTGTAAACACTGACAGACAGATAATACTTGTCACCCCAAAGGGCAGTACTGACCTTACTTGGTTGGAAAGGAAAAGAAAATGTGACTTTCCACTCCTTTAAGTTGTTACACCTGTACTGTTTGCTAGATCTGTTTTTGGTGGTAAGCCATCTGCACAGTTAAGATGTAATAATAATGTAATTACCAAAATAACAGCTGGTGTAAACTAGATGGAAATGTGTAGGATGGATTTGTGCAGCCATCAAGAACATGGTACCACAACACAATATCCAGTATGGTTAAAAACCTTTATAAAATCTGCATATAAAGCAGCTAAAGTATAAAATTGTTACAGTGCCACCTCTTTCAAGCATTCTTCAACAGTGCTTTTGTCACTAAACTGTACTGTAGAGTCCTGTCAAGAATTACTACAGCTAAAATTGGTACACAAGGCAACACGTTGAAGCCTCTGAAAGGAAGCAACTCTTCTCACTCTAGAAATAAACGTTACTCTGCCTCTTGATTTCTGTGAAAATAAGTTTATGACTACCTATGAATCTCAGGCTGCCTGACCAAAAATTAATCAAATTAAAGTAAAAGGTGTTATGAGGATCCTGCTTCATCTCAGCCTAATGGGACGACTAACATTTTTTGTTATGAATTGCCCTTCAAGTCTTTGGACCACTTACCCAGATTTTATTAGTCCATCAATATTTAAAATTTTGAGACTAGGATTTAAACATTAAGACCTCGTCCAAATTTAAACACCCACTTCCAGCTCTCTAGCTACTTCTCTCTAATCCCACCCTATTTGCAGGGGAGCAGCTACGTAAAAAAGCCTCCACATGGCTAGAAGACGTACACACCTCAAGAAATGTCTACAAGTCTGACAAAAGGAAGCATAAAGGGATATGAAAAAAACAACATTCAAGGAAATCTCACTGAAAAACATTCTGCTGCAATATTTATTTATGCTTATGCCTGGGAGTTTTGTAGTTCCAATGAAGCTCATTTCCCAGAATCAACAGTGGTTGATCTCAGGGGTTAGTCCATCTTTAACCCATTTGAAGACTCTCTAGAACAGACCTAACAATTGACATTGCAGAGTAGCCAGTGCAGGTCAGGGCAGAAGCACAGTGTGCTGCTGCCTTTGAGAACAGGCTTCTGTTTTCTTTAACATCTAAGGCTTCTCATACTTCAATGACCAGCTTTCCATGAAGCATGCTGCAGCAATTCATCTTCGAGATTAGACAGGCACAGACACCACTGAGTCCTTTATCCCAAAGGAAAAGATTGCAAGCTTTTGGCCTTGAAGGGATGAATTAACCCAGCTATGTTTCAGCCTGCATTTCCAGATAACATTTCAGATGTGATGGTAAGGTTACTAAACTATCTTCTGTATCTCCTTGGGGCCTATGCTCCACAGGCCAAGAGTCACTATCCTAATCTATTCAGAGTGGCATATTCAAGCTGACAGATGAAATAAACACAACAGAAAAGTACTAGGAAAAAAATGAACATACCTGTGAGCCATCTAGGGCTTGCAATGACATGGCTTCATCACCCAGCCTCCAATATGAGCATACCTGCAGGTCTGAAATAGTTTCTAGCAAAGGGCTGTTTAAGGTCTCTGGCAGCAATAAACTTAAGAGCCCAGACAAAAGACCAGTTGCTCCAAACACGATGTAAGGCAGAGACCACTGAACAGATTTCTAGAAAAAAAGAACAGAGAGAATTAGGGTGAGATTGGTCCCCTGTAGCTCATACCACATATTAAAGCACTTAACCTTCACAACCATTCCATGTGGCAAGCGTGTGTGTGTGTGTTCATATTTAGCACAGAAGTCATCAATCCTACTTTTTTTTTTAACCAATATTATTAATTGTGTACTATTAATACTATTAGATCCACACAGATTTTGCGACAGATTTTAAAAGAAATGCCCACTGAATTTATACTCAATTCTTGTCCATAACATATGTACTTTTTAACAAACGCAACATCACTTCGTATTACAGAAGAAAATATCACAGAACCACAAACACACTGCTTGGAAAAGATCTCCTGAGGTCATCTAGGCCAATCACCTACCCTAAGCGTGACTACAGCCAACACTAGAGAAGGTCAATCATAGCTTTGTGTAACCAAGTATTGAAAAAAACTCCAAGCATGGAGATTCCTCCTCTGAGTAGACTGTTCCAAGGCAGCGTTAAGCCTTCTCAAAGATTTGTTTTCCAAATTTCCTAACGCCCAAGCCAAAACTTGTGGCCACTGATCCTTGTTGAACTGTTCCATGCTGCTGTGAAGATCAAAGGTGCAATATTCCCTCAAGCTTTCCTCTGAAGCCTTGTAATCTAGGCCCCTGACCATCTTGATTACCCCCCCACTGGACCCTCCCCAGATTTTCAACATTCCTCTACAACTGGGAGGGAACATAATCTGTGGGCCACACAGTGAATTGGGCCTGATGTAGCTTAGTGTGAAGTCTGCCTGTTTGTGATGAGAGGACACTGCTGGCTCCCATTTAACTTGTCATCTGTTGTCATACTTGGGTCTCTTCCAGCAAGGCTGCTACTCAGCCAGTTGGTTCCCAGCCTGTACTGACCATGTCATTAGTCCACACCAGAAACAGAATTTTATTCTTCTGTTGGCCTCCATGGTATTTCTGTTGGCCCAAAAGGTCCTACTGGACTCAAGATTTACCTTTTTGTGTGTCAATCACTCCTCCTTATTTTGCATCCTCTAAAAAGATGTATTCTGTTTTATCTGGCTTGTCACCAGCCACAAAATACTGAGCCTATCACTACCCCTTTGAGCCTGGTGGTCCACGCAACATACAAATCTAGTACTCCTTTCAAGCAGGACACACTCCCTCAGCTTCCAAACAAGCCTGTGAGACAGTGCCAGAAGCTTTATAAAAGCCTTTCCTGCTTTCCTCCCTTTCCTCATTCATATTACCTTCTATGATGAAAAGGCTGACTATCAAATCAAACTAGCTCAGAATTAATTGTTCTTAGTAAATCCACGTTCACCGAACCTGATTACCTTCTTGGCCTTCACATGCTCAGAAACAGACTCTGAGAGGTCATGTCCCATGATCTTCCTAAAGACTGAGTTTGAGCTGCTCAGCTTGTAACTCTCTGGGTCCATTTTCTGATCTTAAAGACACACGTAGCATTAGCTTTTCTTTGCTCAGTTATCAGTGACCTTTCTCTACAACAATGGTTTATCACAGATGATGGACACTTGCTTCACTACCACAGCCAGTTCTTGCATCACCTCCTAGGGAATTCTATCCTGTGGAGTGGAAAGCTTTGCCCTTTAAGTGTTCTTGTACCTATTGCTCCTCTACTGTTTGCTGGCCTTCTGCTTCAGCTGTGCTGATATGCAGTGTTTTGGGGCCATGCTTTGCCTACAAAGACTAACACAAAAGCGTTAATTATTTCAGTTTATTCCATCTCATCCACCAACAAAACATCCATCCCATTCAGCAACAAGCTAAACATTTTCTCTAAATCTCCTTTAACTGATAGAATCCATATTTATACTCCTTGCTAGTTTTAGCCTCAATTGAGATTTGGCCTTCCTGTCATCACCCCAACAGCCTATGCAGTGTTTATACTTATCCGCTGATGCATGTCCTTGTTTTCACATGGCCTGTTACAAGCAAAACTACACTAGGGAAACGTGTGCAAAAATATGAGTCATCTGCAATATAGCTCCAAAATATACATTCACTTTCAGACAACCAGTAAAGCAGGCTCATTTAAAAAAAGGCAAATGTTTAGCTGTTTGTTCAAAAAAACCCCTCACTTTGTTTAGCAAAAAGCAATTCTAAATTGAGAAAATAACAGGCTGTGATCAAATACAAGAGCAACATTTTCTCTCTTATCTCAGCAATTAATTTCTCCCATTCCCACCCTTTTTGTAAGATGCCCAGACAAAAGATACTGAAAATGTATTAAAATGGTTGAAGAAATTCCAAAACACAAAAATACTTAATCCTTTCCTCAAATCAACACTCATTTGTTATTTAAGCAGAGCTACTGTCACTTTCAGGGGACCCCCGCAAATATGATGATCCAAGATTTGTGTCTCCTGCAGTGTCAAGTCTCTGCTAGATACAACATAATGGATCCCCCAACTGCTACATAAAAGCTGTCTATTAAATCCACCTGGGAAACCCGCACCAGTCTTGGCTTTGCCAGCTGTACCCTGGAGGTGCTCACACTCTCACCTACCCAGTGTTTCATTCCACAGATTAAAAGGCTCTCTGTGCTCATCTGTCCTTTTGCCAGCCCTCTGCCTGACTTACCAAGATGGCAAATGGCAGAGAGGAAAGTTATTCCAGATTAAATCTGTCACATTAAAGGAACTTGGCCTCAGCAAGCATTTAGTGTGAAAGAAACTGGCACATTATTTCACCTGCCTACATACAGGATTATGAACACAGAGGAAAACAACAGTGTCATCCCCACGTTTCATTCTTCAGAATTTTACTTTGCTTTGACAAGCTGCTGTGAAGTTTGTGCTCAAAAGGCTTGCCAGTATCTCAGGTTTCGTTTATTGAAAGATAGGCTGCTTTGCTCAATTATAGTCCATGGATATCTGGTGCAGTGCACTGAAAGTAAAACTAATTTCTTCTTAGAAATATGAGTTATTGCATCCTTATGCTTTATTCTGATGCAGTAGATATTTTAACTATGTGATTTTTTTTGCTATTGCTCAGGGTTTAAAATTGGGTATCAGTGTCTTGGTATTCTAAAATTACTACAATGCTAATGTCCACTAGCTAAGCCTCAAAATTCTTACGGAGCTAAAACATCTTCTGAAGTAAATAATGTTCAGGTTTTGTCTATAGATATCACAATTCCTCTGGCATACCACAATACTGTAAGAACATCCAATTTACATATCTTAGCTTATATACATAACTTATCCAAAATAATTCCACCTATGTAAGCCTCCGATACATCAGAGTCACAAAACAAAAATATACGTAACAGTGAGAAGGTCAGACAAACCAATGAAGGGACGAAGGGAGCAATGATTCCACCAACACGGGAAAACATGGAGCAGGCACCCATTCCAACATTCCTAAAAAGAAAACAAAAATCATTAATCAGTGACATTTGCATAGGAAAAATTACAACTTTTGAAAAATGCCACTGAGCAAGGGGTGGGAGGGGTTGGGGGGGGGGAAGTCTCAATCATGACCCTGACCACATTAACTGGCAAAGAATAGTCAAATGCAACTGAAAGCATCCCAAGACAGGAATTAAAACATACACTTTGTGCTTAAAGAGAATCAAAAGTCCACTGCACATTCAGAATTCTAACATACATACACAAAAAAGTACAATTTCAGTTAATGCATCTTGTCTCTGCCTGAAACTTTGGCTAAATTCCTTTATCCATATCATATTTATCAGCAGATTTGCCCATGCATGAGAAACATCATAGTATAGTTGAACTGGTAGGTGATGATCAACAATAATACCTGGTTAAAATATCTATTAAAAATTGCACCCATATGGTAGATGCTCTTGTCTACCCTGTCAGCACAAGGTACTTCTGCCTCTAGTGAGTGAAAACTGACTGCTACTTACATATGGCCTGTGAAGCATCAAGTTACTTTTACAAAGCTTATTGACCAATCATCTTCAGTGTGGCTGGTTAAGTATAATTCTTTAATAGTTGTCTGGTTTATAAAGCACTGAAAAATCTACTTTCATTAAGAAATATCAGCAATACTATTGCTATTCTCATTAGTGGCGAGAGTGCTGTGAGCACACCAAGCAGCCAAAGGACTATTTTACTGTTCTATAAAGAATATAGTTAGATGAGACCACTGTAAATTTGAGGGAAAAGGAAGTGAGAAGAGGATAAAGGAAGAAATTTCTCATATAAAACTACACATAACCATTACACGTAACTGAAAATCTCAAATGAAAATGTATAGTTAATAGAAAAAAGTAATACAGAAGTAAAAGCTGATCACGTAAGAGAACCAGAAAAATGAAAACCTTAGAATTAACTTGTGTTACCTGATCACTGTGGGATAAAGTTCTGATGTGTAGATGTAGACAATGTTAAATGCAGCACTGATTGTCAGTTTCCCCAGCAAAGACAGATAGCGACTGTTCACCACTGCAAACAGTCCCGTATCTGATAGACAAAATGTAATAAGGTTTTTGAGCACTCAAATACATCTCTGTAATAATTTCAATCACACAACAGTATGGAGCAAAAGGGAATCTACCTAAGAATTTGTTATAACAGCCAAACACTTTTCTATTGAAAGACAGTATTTGTCAGAGGTCAGGAGGACTCTCAAAACTCAAGAGAATCCAAGGAGCCTTCTTTTAGGCAGCAATGGCAGAACTCATTCAACACAATTTATATTCTCTGCCTACAGATTTACTACTTTATCCATGCAATCAAATTTGTAGAAAGAGGAAAACTCTCCATGTAACACACTATGAAAAAATAACAGAAAAAAATACAATAAATTCATGGCAGACTTCCTACTAGCCCAAAATTGCTTCCATTCTATTAAATACAATCCAATAGAAAATGATGGGGTTAAATAACTGAACAGTCATTTATTACTGACTTTGGCAGTTCAGCACACAGTTGATTTCCTGGGTTCTCACAATTCTATCCTCTGAAAAATCTCTCTTTTCACATGCTATCCTTAGACTGATATGCAAAAACTACTTGATGACTGATACCAGTCTAACCAGAACATCTGAATGTCCAGGCTCTAGCATCTGGAATACCTCTAGAAACTTAAGTTGCACCCTTTTAGAAAAAACAAACCAAACCAAAATGTTTTACCTATTTAGATTCATTGCCATCTAAAGCAACTTATGCAGTCTCTCACCATAAATGTTTAATCCTTTTGAATTGTACTTCAAATGTTTGAAGCATTTTCTCTCCTTATGACAGCTGTTACATGTGCCCAAATCTTACATTAGTGTGTCTGTACAAAAAGGACATTTCATTTCACATTTCTTAAAGACTCCTTGCTTCAGAAGATTTTCAGAAAGCTCTCTGACCTGCAAGTTAAGTGGCCATTACTAATACCACAATCATACCAGTCTTGAAGATTACAGAGCAGTGAGGAAAAAATGGAAACTTGGTCAAAATTTAATTCTAGGATCTTTTTACACTGGCCTTTCACTTGTAGATACATACAAGTTGCATGGGTACTTCATACACTGACATATTGTTTGGCTAATGGAGATATCCCAAGACACATCATTCTTTGGGATTAAGTCAGAAACACTGGAAAGGAGTGACTGATGTGATCAGAAGTAAAGGGCAGAATCCAAAGACAAAAGTACAAATCCAAACCTTTCTAACAAGGTCTCCTTAAGGTCTTAGGAAGTTTGCTGCTTATCCTTTTTGCGAGTTACCTTCTCTGGCTTCAAAAATTGAAACCTGTATGTGGTATGAGCCTAATCTACTGGCAACTATCAAATTCTTAGGCTGTAGGATGCTGCGTTTACCAATTCTTATCACATACTCCAGAAACAAAAGGCAATATTTACCTTTCTTTTTAGGAAGAAACATGACAATAAGAGAAGCCAGTCCTCCCAGGAACAGAAATGTACTCAATGTTCGCTTCCGACCAAACCTGATGTGAAGGATAACAAAACTTTATTCTGCATTAGATCTGCAGTTTGCAGAGCAATGAGTCCTCTACATTCACGTTGTCTCTTTATTTGAAGTTGGAAATTCTGAATGCCATCTCCCACAAACACTTCCTCTCACACTGTTTTTAAACAAGCTTCTACTGCACTTTTAAAACGAGCACCAAGAAGTCTTTATGCAGTGGCTGACAATTTCTAGGATTTTGATTTTCTTCCCACTGTGTGTGCACATTTGTTAAGCTCCTCAGGAGACATGTAGAGAAGAGATTGGGAGGTGAACTCTATAAAAAGTGAAAGACATTGTCCAGAGTATCACGGCTCAGGAAAAGGCTAAATATCTGATTCAACAACTTTGGTCACACACGAGCATGCACAGCAACTATTACACGAAACCACACAACAGCTTCAGTTTAGTTGCAACAGCTTTGATTGAACAGAGAGAATGCGGATTACGAGACAGAGGTGGGAAGAACACCGTCTTGTGTTAGCACAGAGTCAGCACAGCGAGGTTCGACTGATCTAGATCAGCCTCATCTCCAAGCCAAATTTAGATGGCTCATTAATGAGCAAGCTACTGAGAACAAGTTAAACCATTGTTTGAAATAAAGATACATTAATAGTACTTTCAAATTGAAGCAGGAAGCCCCAGACAACAGCTGTAAGCAAGGAGATGCAATATACAGGAAACCTATCTGAGAAAAATTTTAACAAAACAAAACTCTGAATGGGTTAGTAAGTTTCATACTTACCATTTTTGGTTAATCAAGTAAATACAGATTGGGTATGCTGGGATTTCTATCAATCCTGAAAGGGCTAAATTGGCATATATACTTCCACCTAAGTCACCCACATTAAGGGTAAGACCATAGTAAACTAAGCTGCACACAAACCTGCAAAAGACAGAAAAATAGTAAAATCAGAGCTGCTGCTTTAGCTGCCAAATCAAACCACTGGTCTGGCACAATACAGTAAACTATACTTAGTGTTTTCGAAGATAGGTCTAAAAATGTTTCTCTACAAGTATATGATCTTTCTAGGTCAAGAAACCATTTTGTCTCTGCACAGACCCAACTCCTGACTTATTACACAGTTAAACTTAAGACGGAAACATAAGAAGAAAACATAAGAAGAATGTGCATAACCCAGAATAAAGTTAAAATATAATCATGATTACTTGACTTGAAAAATTATGTCTTTGTCCTTTTTGTTTTCATCATGTTTCACTTTTCCAACTATGCACATATCCTTCCTCAAACAGTTCAGATGACGCTTCCGCCTTCTTTTAATTTCTGTACCCTGATCCAGTTTTAGTTGTTCTCCAATTCCGATTTTTACTTTTCTTTTGTAACCCTGACTGGCTGTCATCTTTACAGAAAGGAAAGGAACGGAACAAGTCACTAATTCATTCTGCAGGAAATCACCAATCATAATTTACAGAACAGAAAAATCAACTATTCTGCAGTAAGCATTTGGAAAAGCAACAGGAAAATAGCTCTATGTTTTCTGTTGACTAAATAATGTCTTTTTTTGTTTCTTATTAAATACATCTTCCCCAAATATATGCATTAGAAAAGCAACTTATATCAACAGTAATGCCAGAGGACCATACCATGACATACATGAGGTTTACTTCAAAGTAGCAGCGAAAGACCTCCGGGCTAGCAGAGCTATCTGAAACAACAGGTGCTTTCAGAGTTAAATTTCTGCTAGTGACTAGAGGTAGCATCATGGGTTCCTGCTCCTTACCACAACTGCTAGCACTGGCAGCACTTTCTCTTAAGAAAATAAACACACTCATTAGATGAGGTAGGCCACCCACATGCTAATAGGCTCCTTACACAGAAACCAAAGAATCATCCATGTAACTGAAAGTACTGACACAGCACTGCACCAAAGAGGAGGACAGAATGACTCATCTCAGCAGCACCTGAAGGTCAGAAAGGAAGAGGTAGGTCTCAACTATTTTGAGACTCAAAAAAGCATGACAGAAATGCCAAGATAAAACACCTCAGAACTAGATTGTAAAAACGGCTTCATGTTAGAAATGCACTAAGGAAATACTATAGTACAAGGATCTATTTTAGGTACAGTGTCCCTAACAATACAGGCTGACACCAAGTACAGGCTGCAAGACAAACCAATTCTTAGCAATGTGTTCTCTCAAAGACTAAGAGAGGCAACAGTAGCACAGCTGGGCCTACAAAGTATATCAAGTACCAAGTAAACATCATGATCAAGGTGCGTCCCAAGAGAATCTTATATCGAAACAAATCCAAGAAGCTGCCAGCCTCCCTGGAGCTCCTCTCCGCTGGGAGTTTTAATGAAAAAGTGCACTTCTGTTTGCGGTTCCTCTTCGCAATGAGGTAGAGGGCATCTTCTGCTTCATTCAGCCGGCCTTGTGAATAGAGCCAGCGGGGGGACTCTGGAATGAATCTGAAACACACATACAAACACAGACAGCTTTAGGGCTTTTCTTTTGTAGGAGGTTGGACTTGTCTATGGAAATAAGACTGAAATACATTTTAGTATAACAAAGAATTTTTCAAGTGCTTCAGGTATAAAATTCACTTATTCAAACAGAGCAAAACATGTTGAAAGGAATGGGAACATACATCACATGTTATTTAGATACCAAGAAATTACGTTGAGTATATGCATATATACACACATACATATATGCACAATACTGCAAGTCACATTATCATAGAATCATTATGGTTGGAAAAAACTTAAGATAATCAAGTCCAACCATTATTTAACTCTACCATGCCCACTTCTAAACCATGTCCCTAAGCACCATATCTAGAACAGCTTTTAAATACATCCCAGGATGGTGACTCAACCACTTCCCTGAGCAGCCTGTTCCAGTCTTTGATAACCCTTTCGGTGTAGAAGTTTTTCCTAATGTTTAATCTAAACCTCCCTGGCATAACCTGAAGTCATTTCCTATTGTCCTATCAGTTGTAACTTATGAGAGGAGACCCACACCCACCTCAGGTAGTTGTAGAGAGCAATAAGGTCTCCCCCCAGTCTTCATTTCTTCAGACTGAACAACCCCAAGTCCCTCAGCCACTCCTCATAAGACTTGTGCTCTAAACCCTTCACCAGCTTTGCTGCCCTTCTTTGGGCCCACTCCAGCTCCTCAATGTCTCTCTTATACTTCTGTGCCCAAAATTCAACACAGTACTTAATGTGCAGTCTCAGCAGTGCAGAGTACAGAAGGATCTCTTCCCTACTCCTGCTGGCCACACTATTCCTGATGCAGGCCAGGATGGTGGCCTTCTTGGCCACCTGGACACACTGCTGGCTCACGTTCAGCTGGCTGTCGATCTACACAGCAAGGTCCCTTTCTGCCTGGCAGCCCTCCAGCCACAATTCCCCAAGTCTGTAGCACTGTATTGAGTTGTTGTGACTCAAGTGCAGGACCCGGCACTTGGCCTTGTTGAAGCTCATGCAATTGGCCTCGGCTCATCAATCCAGCCTGTCCAGATCCCTCTGAAGTGCCTTCCTACCCTCAAGCAGATCAACAATTCCAGTCCATCTTTCGGGATGTGGAGATGTTCCTGCACCTTTAAGACTTCCTTCTTGAAGAGTGTCCAGCCTTCCTGGACTCTGTTGCCCTGCAGCACAGCCTCCCAGAGGACTCTGCCAATCAGTCTCCTGAACAAGCCAAATTAGGACCCTGTCTTCAGGGAGTTCGTAATTAAAGAGGCACCACAGTGCTACAAGTGACACAAGATGTTTTTGTAACACCAACTAGATGTATTTAATTTCTCATTTTCCACCTTCTTCCTAAATTCTCTCTTGTAGACAGGAAGGCACAGGCTGTGCAAAGGTCATGCTCTTGCTCCCTATGTGCACTGTTCACTTGATAGGTCCACTTGATAACTCCAAGACAGAAGATTTGCTTTGTATGCTATTACTTTCAGATTCCCAGAACTAATTTAAACTTTATTTTTTTGCCAGAAGCTTTTTAAGATTTTTTTGCCTCTGACCAGAAATGAAATTTTTCTTTCAATTTACACGAAAATGATTCTGTGCTTTTATAAAAGAAAAGAGCTTAGAAAGGAACATGTTTTCTTCCCCATGATAAAAAAAAATCCGGTAGTGTTTTCTGTGCAACGTAATTTTTAAGCAATGTGGGAGAGAGGCAGTGTCAAACTTAGAATTAAAGAATCCTCTTTTACAATAGGACAGGCCTCTAAGCACAGCTCTGAAGTCCTAAGTGTAAAGCACTTCAAAAAATTGTACAATCCAAAAGCTTGTTTGTTTACCGAAGGTCCTAAACACCACTAAATTTTGAAATATCAGAAATGTCATCTCTGCATTTCACCTCATAAACAGCCTCTAAGACCTTTCCCAGAGTTCTGATACTTCCTATGAAAGGGTACATTGACTCTTTAGCAAAGAGCTCTATTCAGAAAGTTAGTTACTGAAATTGAATAGATATTGGAAGAAAAACAGTGTTAAGTTTAAACAGCGGCTAAAGTTATTTTCTTCTTTCAGTTATTGAGATTTTGTTGTCAGGGAGTATATAAGAAAAGAAAAGCACACCACATCATATAGCTTCAGTGCTGAAGCCCACAAACACAAACCCCTTACTGTAATAAAGCAGCCTTCTTCCTATTCTTTCCTAATCACATTTGAAAGACACAAAGGAAGCTGCCCATTTTTTCTTCTGCATGTCACCTTTAAGACTGCAATTCTGATGTTGCTTCTTCTGCATAAGCACAACTATTAGGGAAACATCATGTTATTACTTAACATTTCTGTATCTTTTAACATGCATGTCTTGCAGCATATCAGACAAGAGTTCAGATCATCTGCATATACCAGTTAAATAGGATGTGCTTCTACACCACTCTAGAGACTGTTCCCATTTACAATAATAATACATATACAATACAACGAACGCTTACATTGTCAAATACTGCAGCACTGCTATTTAAAGAAAGCACAGAATATGGAGTGGAAGAGGTTGAGAGAAATTCCTTAGTTACACAATTTTATGCCACCCTAGAAAGGCACCTTGATTTAGTTGTTTTGTTTGTTGGGTTTTTTTGTTTATTTTTCTTATTTTTGACATCTTTCTTGATGAAACAGTTTGAAAAATAACTTACAGAGAGAGAAGAAAGACAACCGTTCCTTCCAGGTTAACCACAACAGCCAGAGTCCTCCAGGAACGAATGAAGTACCCCAATAAAGCATACTGGGCAATTCCCACAGCAAAGAACAAGCCACCAATAGATCCTAATATACAATTAAAACCAAAACATTATTACTTCTTTAAGGAACATTACTAAATCTCAACACACAGGATCAGACAGAAGCTAACACTTCAGAAAAATTCACTCAGCAATACAGGCAAAAGCACAGCTATTTGACCAAAGAATATTCTGTCCTTCACCCATGCAGGGCAAAAGCACTGCATAATTGCAAAGATCAATACAAGTGCAAAAAGCATTGTTCTACATCCTCCTCACTCAACAAAGCCTCATAAACAATTAAGTCTCGTAATTCCAAATATAACTATGTTTCATCTTTCTATATGTAAAAATAAATAGTAAAAACCACTGGAAAACTGGTATTTTTAGGAATATATAGTACTCATTTGTAGCTCTCATGACTTGTAAGATATACTTTTAAAACAGTCTCAGCACAGCACTTTTTCGGCACTTGTCACAGACTGGGTAAATCAGGCCTCTGAGCTGTAACAGTACAATTGATGCATATCATATCTGAAGGACAGCTTCAACACTAAAACCCAAGACAGTTAAAGATGTCTATATCTTCTGTTCTAAATACTAAGGCTAACACATGAGACAACATTTTTTTTTAAATATATAAACAACAGTTGTCTCATCTTCCCATTATATATAAATGTTGTTGATTTCTCTGAGAACTGCAAGGAATAAAAGTATTAATATCTAGCATACAACCACTAAGCTCTGTTTAGCAGAGTCCAAAATTCTGATGGACAGAGCTCAGCTATCACAAACCTTGGGTGAGCATTCAGCTATTTAACATTCACAGGGGATGTTTTAACTGGACTTTTATCAACTTGAGTGATGTAGAAATCTGAATGGCCTCAAGACAACTACTATGCTTGTCTAAGGTAGATTATTAAACAAAGCAGGGCTTGAAAACTGTGGCCATACAGATGCTCAAGTAGAGTTTATTTCACAGCTCCTATGGTGTGAGCTTTGGTGCATCTCAAGTGCTGCGTGAGAACGAAATCTATAAATTCTGACAGTAAAGACACTGGCACTCAAACTTTACCTGCTAATGCCCAGTAGGCAGTACCCACACACTCATTCAGTAGAACAAAGGCCACAAGTGACATCCCACCGTTCATCATTCCTACCAAGAAGCGAGAGGTGGCAAAGAATTCATATGAGGGTGAGAATCCATTTGCAATGGCAAACAAGATGTCCAGAGCAAAACCTGGAAAACAAGGCAAAAGGTTTCATTTTAGAAGAGTACATAAAGAAAAACAGAAGCATTTATTAATATCTTTACTTGATGTTCAGTGGCACCTGCCCTAAGTCATCACAGTCAACAACTACAACACAGGTTTGGGCAGAAATTAAAGTACCCAAAGTCAATAACAAAAAAGGAGGGGACACAAAAGGAGGGGTTTCTGATATATAATTTGCAGTACCAAATCTTCAAATTCAGTTCAAAGCAGACCATTTTCTCATATACCCACAACTACTGTCTGGCTCCAGTTAAGATGGCTTGATATTTATTTCCATACAGAAGCCACAGATTAAATATATGGCCAAATATCTCCTCTCATTCTTGGAAAGTAGTCTATACAAACTAGAGAAGAGAAACATTACCAGGGGACAATATGGGGAGTCTATACTGCATAGCAGGCCAACCTTTATCTGCTTTGAATGAGGTGGTTCCTTTAAAAAAAAAATTTCATTTTTTTAATTCTACATGCTCATCCATTGACATACACCTTTATGAATACACACACAAAACATGAAGTTCCGAATGTTGTTTGATCTAGGGACAGTAAAAAAAAAAGCATGAGGATCACAAATACATAAAAAATAAATCATGCAGACAGGATGAAAGGTGCAACAAATTCCTAGCTGGTTATACACACAAGAACACTGCTAACAAATTACTAGAGATATTAACTGCTATCCGTGGAGATCCCATGAGCATGACGTGCATGAGTGTAAGCCGTTATGGTATAATTCCTAAATCCAGAACACCTGACAGATATTCAGATGGTGATTGAATAGTCAAATATTAATTTCTTGTCCCTATTTATATTTCTGAAGTATACTGGAAAGACAAAACAAAACAAAACAAAAATATCACAGCACATGATTCACTGCTGCATATCAAGCTCTGAGCAGAAACTGAGCTCTTGCCACCAATCTTCAGAGACACAATGCCTCGATTTCACGCATTTTGTTAGGTGGCAGTGCTTACCTGTGAGATAGACTTTCTTCCTCCCAAAGCGATCCGAGAGCTGGCCAAAGGAGATGGCTCCAAGAAACACACCACTAAAGTAGAAAGAACTGGCAGCACTGACTTTGTAAGATGTGCTTCCAATTAAAAACCACTGGATGGAGGAAAAAACAAACAAACAGGAGAATTAACCAGAATCCAAGCAGTTCAACAGTTCACAAGCAGCTAATAACTGGAGGGGGACGACACAAACTTTAAGGAAGATCAAACTTTGCATAAATCTCCTAAGCATCACATTCAGTCATCATTGGTACTAACCAATTTCACATTTCCCCTAAATCATGTGCAGTCTTTGATTCTGAAATCAAGGACAGATCCCTCATAGAACATTGTGATTTTCTGCAGACTCCTTCCACTTTCCCTTTTATTGCCTTTTCTTACATAAATGCACTAGCTTAAATAGACTCAGTCTTACCTCTTGACATATGTCACCGCAATGTGAAGGCACACTATGAAGAAATCAAAACTGTGGTTTATGTCGAAAGATAATCCTGCATGTGCTCCTCTTTATGAACTGTTTTGTCACTGAGAAACACTTTGGTAGTGTTAGACAGGTTTTCTAGTATTGCAAATACTCATCTTTTTTACAGCATGCTTTGTCACTTCCAGTTCTTCTCAATCCCAAATACAAACCTGACCTTCATATGTTTGATTGTTAAATACTTAATGTCTTGGGTTAAGCCTGACAAGAAATTCTTTCCCCCACAAAACTGTAGAAAACATGCCATGCTCTCACTGTTCAAAAGTTATTTCCTTTTGTATTCTAAAAACTCCACATCTTGTGTTTGTTGCTTTTTCTGCTCCTCTTGCATCTTGAGATAATGTTTCCTTTTAGTGACAACCAACTTTTCTTCCTGTGCTGGTAAGCTGGTGATTATGTCATTATCCCTGCAATAACACACTAATCTTCTCCTCATAATCTTCTCTTCCTCTACTAAAATCCCATTAGATATCCTTTCTAGCAAAGCTCGTATTATTTCAAGCTCCGTTATAAACCACCTCACCATGAGAACAGAGTCATGCAATTAAGCCTCACCAAGATTAGGAAGCTAACAAAACGAAACCATTCAGAAGCTCCAAGAAAATAACTTGCTTACTCTCAGTATATGCTTCATTTTGAATTGTCATTTTAATGGTGAGGTGTTTACTGATAGAGTAGGTAATGTGTCCATAAAACGTCAAGATTGACAAAATTCAATTCTAAAACTAAGCATGTGACCACAAAACCGCTTTTGAAGCTTCTCTAGATTTAAAAAAAATTCCCTGAAAAATAAATTCGTATAACAATAGCATATGAGATTAATTTTATCTTGAAATAACATGGTCAGTTTATTTTATAAGGCTACAAGAATTATGCCCTAACTTTTGATATAAAAATTAAAAAACTGCCATCACTGAAACTCAGTGACACTAGATGACTTCTGAATCATTCAAGGATTAAGAGATAATTTGGTTGTGAAGCAAAATTTGTTCTGCAAATTAATCTCAACAGCTAGGAAGCCCTTCAAATGGCTCAAGGCTTTTCTCGTCTACATAAAGCGTGTTAAATATATATGCTCATATTCACAAATCAAGCTACTTACATCAGAATATTTTTCAGTGTAAATTTGCAATAGTCATGTTATTAGTAAGTGATGTCAGAAGATAAGCATTTAAAACATTCTCCTCACATGTAGAAAAAGCTTCTTTACACATCACTAATGAAATTAGATATTGATAAGATACCCCCCAAGTAAGTGCAATCTCACTAAAAATCTTCATCTTAAGCATATAACTCAACTTCCAAACATACCACACATTCAGCTAACAGATTTTGGAAAAAAAATTAAAATATTTTAACAGTGGGAAACAGGAAAGGTAACAAGATTTTATACACATGGTCCTTTACTGAGAAGTATGTTAAAGAACTACAAAGCAAAATCTACAAGAGTTGCCTTGGGATTTCTTTTTTGAAACTCGCATCTTTTCCTGCATTTCTTATTTATGCAACTAAAATGCGTAAGAATCTTTACAAAATTTATGTCCTACAACACTGCTAGGCTCTACAAACATGTCTGACTTGTCAAGTTTAAAGATAATAAAAGATTCTTGGATAAATTAAAAAGTAAAAAAGAAAAAAGTCCAGAGAAAGCTTGAAAACCTTACTGAGCTTTAAATAATGCTTTAAAAAAATCCACCATCCATTAGGATTTTAATTAAAGTGGCAAAATTACTCATATCCTCTTTATTACTATAATAATAAGCAACGGCCGTTGTACACAACTGTTTGGTACTATTCCAGAGCCAAGAGTTTTTATTATTGTGCTTATAACCAGTAAACTAAACAGAACTAATTTCGATAGCATTACTGCCTCTGGACAATAGCCATGAATTCTCCAGTGCTACTACACTTGACTCAACTGTACAGCTCTGAATTCAGGTCCTGCAACAGATGCACTCAGACGGGGCTCTTGTACAGAACAATTTGACATTAACAGATGCTGAAAGCCCCAGCAAGGCTGGGGCACACATCAGTGCAGAGTTTGGAATAATTTCTGTAGGGACTGTGGCTAGACCACGAAAGAAGACACAAAACAGAGGTCAGACCAATAAAGCTTAAACTTGTTTCAGGATAGAATGAGGGGGAGTTGCTTTGTCCACCTGATTCCCCACTGCCCATGTCTTCCCTCATATCTGGAGATGCAAAGACTGCAGAAGCCACTTCCTCCTCAGTTCCTCCACTGCTTGCTTACTGCATGACGGCTGCACCTCATGCATTCGACCTTTGCAAGGGAATCATGAGAGGTGGTCGGAAAGAGCTTAGGGTCCATAAAGGATTTTAAGCACATTACTACAATGAATAACACGATTCCAGCTCAGTTGTGGTACCAGGCTACAGGATCCAACATGTAACTTCCACATGGAAAAGGCGGGAAGTTTTAGAGCAGAACTTTGGTCAAGATCTGCATAGCAAAATAAAGCTAGTTTTTGCTGCTAGTAAATATATGAGTAGATTACCTGTTCTCTCCACCTGTTTCATTTGCTTATCAAAACATGCATTAGTACGGAAGAAAGCAGCAGCACAACCAGCCCCTTGCAACTGGCCCAATGAGATTTACATACGAGGCAGCAAAACACATTTCAGACTTACCTCAGAGACTATTGATGTGAAGCTGCTGCTGAAGTGTACGTGCTTATGCACCTCACTGCTATTGGCGGTCAGAAGCCATTCCCCAAAAGCTCCCTGCTCACTACTGGCTGACTGGTTGCTATGGCTGTGATTAGCAGAGAGCTCTTGGAGATCCCAGTGGTAGGGAGGAGTTGCTCCCACCAATGCGATGAGGATGGCTTCAGTGGCCACATAGAGCTGACATGAAAGAAAAAATATCAAAAATGTTAAACATACATCCAAGCAATGTTGCCTCTGCAGCTGGATCAAATCGGTATTAAAAAATATTCCTATGTTATATTTGCCATCTGTTATCACAAGATGACACATAACCCCCTCCTCTACCAAATATCACACAGTAAAGAACCACAATTTCAACACGGTGGTTCTTGCACTTTTTATCTGTTGATTATTTGAGAAGTTCTCCTGAAATCCTTCCTTCAGTCAGAGGCCCCTCCAACTCCCACACACAGCAAGTACATCTCCTGCATGCATGAAGAGTTGTTAGCAGTACTAAGGAGACAAATTAAAACTATTCTTTTATGCAAGTATTACTCTATTGTAGCCTCTCCTTCCACCTATGTTGCTCATTCCTCTAATCTGGTAACTGGAATAGGTCTCCTCCTCACTGTTTCATATCCAATCTTTCCCAGTTTTTACCAAAATTAATTATTTCATATTTTTTAATCTGCTGCGATCCTGTTTTACTCTTAAAGGAGAGACTGAGCTACACATATGAACACATATATGCATTTTTTATATATCTACGCATTTATACAGACACACGAGGTCTAAAAACAGTGATTAACAGCTACCTTATTTTAGAGAAGAATAAATAAAACTGCTGGAAACCCAGACACTTCAAGCCTGGTCTAGAGGTGGGTCACTGATTCTTGCTCAGAAGATCATTCACAGGCCACTGCTTTAACAGGCTACATTACAAATCCATCCTAAACCATAGTTTTTTTAGACCTGTTGGAACACAGAAGTGCCTTGAGTTCTGCAACAGAAGACAGATGATAAAAGTCTTCTGAGACAAAAGCAGTTGCTGGTAACAACACATACATACACACACACACACACACACACTCTCTCTCTCTCTCTCTCTAAATAAAACTGCCTTTTGTCTCAGGCTCTCATCAAGGAACAGTAACTCAGCACAATAGCTCATGACAAAAAAAAAAAATCCTGTTTATTTTCTTGTCTACTACTTCCTCCATAAAAAACCCCCTTCAGCCATTCCTCAAACCCCACACTTCAGCCACCTCCTGCATACAGTCCTTGCTCTGCTCCCAGCATCTCCTCAGTGTGTTCTTGGGAAGAACATACCTGCAGAAAGTGCGTTCTCTCAAAGGGCTGAAAATAATTCTTAAAACTGGGAAGACCATAGATAGGAACAAAAAAAGAAGTTTGAGGACCTCTGAATTCTGATGCAAGTAACACCAGGCAATCCTATTCTGTTCTGTACAACAGCTGAGCAGCCAGAGTTACATCCAGATCTAAATGATAATTACTACTAAATTAAAGAGAGACCCCGAGTTATTACCTGAAAGCATTTTATTTCTGTAACCTCCTTTTTGTATTCTACAGGATAAACTGTTACTGTAGTGACAAATGAATACTTAAAAAAGTAATTCTCTTTGCATTTTTAAGACAAAATTATTGAATATCAAAAGAAATTTGAAAGAAAGCCATAATCTGCTAACTACATTATTATTTAAGCTAAAGAACAACTTTTAGATAGACAATGATACAGTAAGAGACCTCATCTGGGAAAAAAGGCAATGACTAAGATTACATGGGGAAAGAGGTGTTAAACAGCTGAGTGGCCATGTTGCTAGGGATGTGTGAATATGGTTACTCTCAAGAACAGTTTGAAATTACTGAGAAATAAGAATTACGGGTCATGATCTGTCATGCATCCCTGTACTCTGACTCACTCAGACAATTCTGTGTCAGGACTATGTGAAAACATCCTTGCTTTTGTCTTGTGAAATAAACATATTTTTGAAGTAGTTCAGGAAACTAAATACTCAAGGCATTTGGTTTGGAGAAAGAAAGGATAATGCTTTTCATTTTTGCTCTAGGTGAAACCCACCCCAGCTACAGAACACCAAATCAAAAAATAAGTGATTGCAAGCATACAAAGAAACACTACAGATATTTTTTCAATTAAAAAAAAAAGCAGCCTTAAGTGTCCTAGTGGTTGCAGCAAGGAAGGATATAACAAAGATAGAAACACTTCCAATTGATCTGTTGGATCAGAAAAATATATTATGATGGAGACATGTTTTGATATTAACAAATAGTATTGTTCTATATTTGAGTTCACTGGAGTCACTGCTGACACAAGACAGTTTTTCCTAGGGATCACCTGCTTCATACTTTGGATAACAGATATGGTAAGTCCTCTTCACTTCATTGCAAAAACAAAGCAAAAACAAAACCCACAAAACACCCCCCAAAATTTAGTTACAATTCTGAAGATAAGAAACATTTTTTTAGACGTTGTCTTAAAACCATGATGAAGCAAACTTTAAACTTAAAGAAAATAAAAATACAGTTTTTATCATTCAAGTAAAAGGCAGGAGTTTGTGTTAATGAATGTGTAAAATTCTTAAGGGGGGAAATTTCAATGCTTGCACTTCGCAGTAACATAGTTGTGTAGAGTAGTGATCAATATAAAATGCTATCAAATCAAATAGACATATTATACAACAAGGTATAAAATGGCTACTAGATATGCAGTGGCAAACAAAGCCCTTCATTTTTCATTTGTTCTATGACCCAAGTCAAATTTATGTCATTTAATGTATACCTTTTATTCATAAAGCATTTTAATTGGCTCTATGTGGATGCTAATGGCTCCCTACCGAATTCTCTGCACTGATCTGTATTAATCAACATGAATACCAAGTGCAGGGGGAGAAGGCAGCAGCTCATAGTAACCATGATGAAATGCTCAGAGTTTTGTTAGTTTGCTTTAAGCGTCCCCTGTTTGCTTATATTCTCTGTAGGTTAAAATTTTATAGTCTGACTAAATTATAAGTCTATGGTGTAAGGAGATGTAATAAATGGCAACACCTTAATAACCTGTAAACTTTCACTTTCTCTGCAAGGTAGAATACCCATTTACAGCTATTTCATTAACAGGTTTTGAAATTAACTTAAAATTAACATTTTGAAATTATTAATAAAAATACCTGAGATGTCTTGACCAGCTTTCTTGGTGCTCATTTTCATAATAAATTACTACCAAGATATATGCAGAATCTCTAATAAGTCTAGCAAGGGAGGGGGAGGAAGAACTTTCTCCTGTTTCATCTGTGTATAATGAAAACATACACAAAAGTAATTTGAGAAACTCTTTTAGACCTCATAATTTACCCATTACAAAGCACAAATGAAAAGCAAAGTAGAATTTAAGTCTTGCTTAAAAATTGCTTTCAACCTTTTTAATCAGCAATTCACAACCAGCCTGGTCATTCCAGACAAGTATCAGCTGAAGCATTCAGTGCTGAACAAAATAACGACTACATCACTAACTTCTGACCTTTCAAATACAGAAACATTAAAACTGCATCTTGAGGAAAAACAGAAGTTAAGAACAAAGAATGACCTTGCTCTGGAAGAAGCCTATGATGAAGAGATGGTTACATTTTAGGGTTAGAGTCATTTTTCCTGAACCTGCGACAAGCAACTGAAAAGCTGGAAAGCCACCTTATTTCTGAAAGTCTGATGACATCATCTGCTCTACTTCAAAGTGTGATTTGCCTTTAAATTCACATGACTTTTTTCTTTCTTCCTCAATAACTTTTGTGTGGAAAAGCCCTAAAACATCCTGCTGCAAAATTTTTATCTGCTGTGACAATATACTCTTCTACCAAAGTATCTTCCCCCTCTTGGTAGCACAATAGAAGAGAGAACCCCATAAGACAGAAGGAAAGGCTGTTGTAGTTACAGAGCAGGGAATCACCACATAGAGAAATACACACTTCAGACACTTAACAACCTGGAAGCTTAACAACCTGCAAGCTGGAACATAGGAGGCGCAAGCTGGAACATAGGAGGTTCCATGTGAACATGAGGAAAAACTTTTTCACTGTGAGGGTGACAGAGCACTGGAACAGGCTGCCCAGAGAGGTTGTGGAGTCTCCTTCTCTGGAGACATTCAAGGACAACCTTGACGTGTTCCTGTGTGACCTGGTCCAGGTGATCCTGTTCTGGCAGGGGGGTTGGACTGGATGATCTTTCAAGGTCCCTTCCAACTCCTGAGATTCTGTGAACTCCAACCCCGCTCTGACAGGAAATACTCCCCATGAAGAATGTAACCACTCTTGATTATTGCCTGTGCCAACGACAGAGTCAACACACAGTTTGAAAGAACTTAAGAGTTTCTGTAGAGAAACTGAGAAAACCTACCCCATTTTGACTTTTTCAACCTTAAAATGTAGGCCCCCAGAATCCACAGAAAAAAATCCAATGCCCATCCAAACCCATACATAACTTTATCCCAGAAATTCTTTGACATCTACACTGGAATTTAACACTGTACAGCGAATCACAACTCTCAGAGCCTCATTTCCTACAGGTTTGTGGAAAATGTCCCCTCAGCTTTCCCTTCTCCTCTGTTCCAAACATCCAAACCCACACATCTCACCTCTGCATCATTTTGGTGGCCAATGGCAGCAGTAGGGGTTTGGTGCCCATTACTCAGGTGACTGCTGCCACCAAGCAGCACAGGCACAGCAGACAAGGCCTGCTTTACCTCCCATCAGCACAGGCACATGCTTGAATCTCAAAAGCAGAGAGCTTTGCTTTACAAGTTTTCTGCAAAGACAGTCCAAGTGGCAGCCAACTCCTGCACACATATCTTTGCCTGACAGGGCCATGGGAACACAGCACACACCATGTGCCTGTACTCCTGCCTATCTAGTGATGACAAAACCAGTTACAGCATTGGTGATGGGACTGAGGATCCATACATAGGCTTTCAACTCCTCAGCTCAAGTTGCTTCAGTGAGTATTTCATACAAGAAAATGATTCTACCTTTTTTCTGCCAACATGCAGAAGCGATCTTTACCAGCAAAATATAGTGAAGTACTTTCAGCTCTGCACTTTTTTCACTAGTGCCATCCTAGAGATCCAGTATTTCTAGGTAAACTGATACCATTTGAGATTTCTAAGTTATTATCAACCAACCCAAGACAGAAGGTATGTCAAAGTCTGCTTATAACTAGAGAGCAAAACTGAGTGGAATGCAGATGGTGACAAAGGAAAGTCAAAACAAAGTTCCACAAGGGGTTCTCCAAGAACAAAACAATATTCT